GCAGCACTAGCTTCAGTAGCAGCAGCAGTGAGTAGCGCTAGCTGTAACAGGAGTAGCGTCAGTAGCAGCAGCAGTGAGTAGCGCTAGCTGTAGCAGCAGTAGCTTCAGTAGCAGCAGCAGTGAGTAGCACTAGCTGTAGCAGCACTAGCTTCAGTAGCAGCAGTAGTGAGTAGCACTAGCTTCAGTAGCAGCAGTAGTGAGTAGCACTAGCTGTAGCAGCACTAGCTTCAGTAGCAGCAGCAGTGAGTAGCACTAGCTGTAGCAGCAGTAGCGTCAGTAGCAGCAGCAGTGACAGCTCGGGCTGGGCAGCGCGTAGTAGCAGTAGGCGCGCGTGGGCTGTGGGCGTGCCAACCAGGGGCGCGCAACAGGTGCGTGCGGGGCGGCACTACGAGGAGCGCGCATCAGGTGCGTGCTAGGGGCTGGCGGGCAGCGTGAGTGGCGCGCGCAGCAGCAGGAACGAGGGGGGGACCGGGCGTAGGGGCTGACGGGCCGCGCGAGAGGCGCACGGGGCAGCTAGGGCTCGGTCAGGGGGGTCGCACGTGACTAGGAACAGAAAATCGCGTCTAGGCAGAAAAGGGAACCGTCTCGCCTAGGGCACGTTTTCGCATTTCGCGTTTCTCCTAGGGGCGCGACTCGGGCAGCAGGTCGAAATAGTAGTGGTGGGCCCTTTTAAAATTTCGGTCCTAAGGAGCATTGTGCTCTTAATACCATGTTAGAGTTACTAGCTAGATGAGTGAATTCGATTAGGTAAGGGGGGGGTACAAGGACTATCGAGAGAGATTGTTGTACCCTCTAAGGAAAGAACCCTACACAACCTAGAGTGAAATAAGCAGAACAATATGTTTTGACAGGGCTGTCTACAACTGTACCCTCCTTGTTCAACAGAGTGTGATCGACCTCGGTGAGGGTCGGATGATTTGGGAGAGCAGCAAGTCTTGTTACTAGAGGGCCCATGTGCTACTGAATCCCCGTGTTTTCCTACTGCAAAAACCCGTTGCGCTGATCGGCTCCCTTACCCTGCTTCTCCTCTGGACGTTCGCTCTTGTGGTGCCCAGGCCAATTGCACGCGAAGCAGCGTCCCTTAAACGGCATGAGAGCGGCATTCGCGGCGACGGTGCATACCGTGGTGTGCTAGGTCATCCCACGACACCTGTCTCCCCAATTGTTGTAGGACCCCGTCCTCAGGTGGCATAGGTCCAGCCTCTCCACCATTACGAGGATGTTGTTAAAGTTGCGGTCTACATTCTAAAAGCGATTTTCTGAGGGTAAATTCAGTGCACACCCTCTGGCGCAAGATGATTCGAGAGCGAAGTGAGCTTCTTCCCCAAACACTTGTGCGAGACATTCAAACACCCGACTGCGATGACAATCAGTTTCGTGAGCTGGTTTGCCTGGGGGAAGTAATCCGCGGAGATGCGGATGACCCTGCGCCCAACACAAACAACCAAGCGGAGTAGAAATGTATGCTCTGATGAGCATAACTGCCAAACGTGCAATCTACTCCATACCACTCTAGGCTGCAAATCCCTCTAGCAGCACACAGCGCAGCAAATGACTTGCTATGCGATGTTATGATACGGCAAGTGCCCACATCAAACTATCCTAAACCTATCTAGCTTGTCTGCTTGGTTGCTTCATGCCTGGCGATCTGCACCACGGAAGAGAGAATAGGGGGGGAAGAGAGAACAGGGAGGGAAGAGAGAACAAGGAGGGAAGAGGAGCAGGGAGAGAAGAGCGAGCAGGGAGGGAAGAGAGGAAAGAGAGAGCAGGGAGGGAAGAGCGAGAGGGGGGAAACAAAGGGGAAGCAGGGGGGAAACGAAGGGTAAGCCAACAGCGAGACAACAACAGGCACATGAGGAGAGAACGAGAGTTGCTGAGGGGCATAGGGATAGGGATAGGGAAGGGGAAACCTGGGGCTTGCCCACAAGGGCAATGCGAGCGTGAGGACAAGGCACGTGGTCAGGGAAGGCGGGTGGCAAGGCGCAAAAATGATGGAGAATAAGGCGGACAGGATGACGGATCGTAAAACGGAAGCAATGAGGAAGCGCATGGGGCCGCGAAGGGCAAGGGGGTAACATTGAAGAGAAAGAGGGGGGATGCTATCCCCCCGCGCCTGCTCGTTATTCCCCCGCGCCTGCTTGCATCTCTTTCTCCCGCCTCTACTCGCATATTATCCCCCCGCGGCTGCTCGCATCTTATCCTCCCGCGCCTGCTCGCATGCTATCCCGCCGCGCCTGCTCGCTTGATATTCCCCCGCGCCTGCTCGCATGCCTTTCTCCTGCCTCTGCTCGCGTGCTATTCCCCCGCACATGATCGCATGCTATCCCCCCCGCGCCTGCTCGCATGCTAACACCCCGCGCCTGCTCGAATGCTATTCCCCCCCGCGACTGCTCGAATGCTATCCCCCCGCGCCTGCTCGCAGCCGCCAACCCTCGCATATCGCGGCTTACCCCGTCGCAAATTGTCGCTCCCATCCCCCTCGCACCTCCGCGTCATCGGTGCTCATTCCCGTCCGCGTTGCCAGACCGCGTCGCTGCTCATAACCAGCCGCTCGCTTCACGTAATCGCGGCAGCTCCCAGCGCGCGCCTCGCACGTAAACGCGGCAGACACCCCACCGCCACTCGCGCGATATCGCGACTCACTCCCGTCCGCGGCTCGCACCTCCTCGCTGCAGACTTCAGTTTGTGCTACGTATTCTCTTATACTAAATCCTATCTCGCGCCCGGAGAATACTACAATTTAGCCTGTCAGTTGTTCCACAGTGGTAGAAAGCTGGAGCTAAAGCACTATGAGGAGTGGACCGTAACACTGAAATGCAGGAACATGGGCTTGGTGAGAGCGCTACTTGGAAAGCGAGACGACGCCGGTAAATCTCGCGGCTCAGAGAAGAGGAAAACGCGGCGATACGGTGAGGAGATATCCGGCGACGAGACCAGCTGATCTACGGTGACGAGGCGAACAGATCTTAGGCGAGGAGGTGAGGCGACGAATTTTTCTAACAGCTCCTGTTAGGCAAGGCGGCGCTCCGATATCTGGCAACGAGTACAGGGCAGAACGCGACGGTGTGTTTGACTGCGCTGGTAATTCGCGGCCGACGCGGCCTAAATCGCTATTACGATCGAGGTTTAGGTACCGAAACCAATAGGGGAATATCGAGTGAGCTGTGGCAACCATCGTGGGAAGAGTTTTGGTCTACAAACCACCATGCAGGTCAAGTTCTAATCTGGCGAACTTGTTTCAGCTGTTGGTTTGTTCACCCCCAGCCCCCTCCCTCCTTCCGCCTCGACTTTCGCTTCTTCGCAAAGGGGTACTTGTGGGGACAGTGTTACCCTGTTTCCAAGTGATAAACCTTTGCCTTCCTCTTGAGATATGTAGACCGCAGCTTTAAAGTTGGTGACGCCGCGGAGCAATATATCTTGGAAAATTTCGGGCTTTAATCCACCAACATAGCGATTGATGCGCTCCGGCCTCATACATATAGCCCACTTGCTTGCACAGGATCCACGACTAAACCGTCGGACCACCCCGTTGACTCAGACCAAAGTATGAGGGCGCTGGGGCTTGAGTGGTGTTAGAGTGAGGACCTTGGATAGGATAGGAGGTGCCTTTGGTAGAGTTGGTAGCGGAAGTCTTGTAGGAACTCAGATCATAGTGAATGTAGATGACCAAGTTGATTAAAACATAGAGTACAAGGAATATAAATAGTCCTAGTCTAGCCATGTACTCTAAGGGGTACATTCCCTTATTATAACTGTTTTACAGGCATTTCTACAGTGACTCCTGACTGTTGTACTACCTTCTTGTTACCGAGTCGCTGCATGTAACCTGTACGGTTACACCTGTTGCCATTCCTCGATGGTAAGTCAAGCGTCGGTCCAGATGGTCAACAGTCGCGACAGTTGACTCTTGCGACTGTTAACCTTCCTGCCCTCGATACGGGCTGATCCGATACTACGGTCGTTGCTACTTCGACAAAGTCAGGTGCGATACTGCTGCACCTACGGGAATGCTTAAGTATAAATCCCTTCACTCTCCAACAAGTGGCATGGGTGACGCAATTGCTGGGTCGTCGGTTTGAATCGCGATGATGACACGACGGCGGTCCCCATACGGTGATTCTGCCACAGTCGACCTTTCGGGGTGTGTCGTGCTGTGTACGCTGTGAACTTCTTCGCGTGCGGTGTCATCGCTGGCAGCAGTCGAGCGTTGTCCCACGCTCTCGTATCGAGACGGCTTTGTTGCTGCTAGTGGTGCGGGTGGTGCTTGTGTTTGTGCAGGAATTGACGCACACTGCAATGATTCTTGTTCTGCCATTAATGTCGCAATTTCGAACGAGTTATCGAGTTATCACTGACGCACGTGGGGGGTACTGCCCCGAGGGCGGGGTTATCAGGAGGAAATTTCCGAGAAACTTCGTTCCGATAACATCGCATTGAGGGTCTACAGCGTACTCTGTATTGACAGGGTCCGTGAAAACACTACAATGAGAGTGTACACAAATTTTCAGGGTCCGATAAAGCAATACTCTGAATGGATCAGGGACCAAATTGCGAAAAACCTGAATTCTCAGGGACCAGAAAGTGACAAGTCTGAAATCACCCTGAAATCGGGGTAATTACCTTGATAAAATCAGCCCGTGCAGGTTGGGCAAAGGAAAACCGAAGGCGACGCGGGGTTGCTTCGGCAGCAAGCAAACCGATCGAACGTGCACTTCCAAAAGTCGGGGTTGTACGCGAAAGAATAAACCTCAATAAGGAAAAGGGGTTTTTACTTACACAAACAAAAACCATAGTGTTCTATGTTGTACAAAGGGGAGGTGTCCAGATCGGTGCTTCCCAAGTATTGTAGGAATGATTCAAAGCCAAATACACTCGACGTCATCTTCCTTCTATTCGCGGCAGTAATTCAGTAGCATCGCGTCCGTCCACGTTTCACCGCGTGTGGCCACGTGTTACCGCGTGCGGCCACGTGATACCGCGTGCGGGCGCGTGCGGGCGGCATGGAGGCGCTGAAGCAGAAGGGCAACGAGGCGTTCAAGAAGGGGCAGTTCTCCGCCGCCGCGCTCGCCTACCGGCGCGCGCTCGAGGCCGCGGCGGAGAGCGGCGAGGCGCCGCGCGAGACGGCGTCGCTGCACAGCAACCTGTCGTGCTCGCTGCTCAAACTAGGGCACCGCGAGGAGGTCGAATGGGAGGGGAAGGGGGAGAATGGGGGGGTGGGGGGAGGAAGAGGGGGAAGGGGAAAGGACGGGCGGGGTGGCTGGGTGGGGGGGAAATATGGTAGGTGGGATCAGAGCCCGGTGCGCTTGAGCTTTCTCCCTTCTATACGTGCCTCTCGCCCCCTTCGAACCCCCGTTTTCCTCAAAGGCTCCCCGTCTCGTGTGCACCCCTCCTTCTACCGCCATCCGTTCCCCAACCTCCTGTTCGTCTGCCCTGAAGTGGGACAGCAGCGCACTGATATACGGGTAGAATAACATGCCAAAATTCCCTCCCGCCCACCCCCGCCCTCTCCCCCATTCTCCCTCCTTCCCGTCGACATTTCCCTCACCCCCCGCCTTCACCCCATCCCCGCCTTCCTCTCAACCCCCGCCTTCACCCCATCCCCGCCTTCCCTTCACCCATGCATTCCCCTCCTCCCCCCTCCATGCGCACTCACCTGCGCGCATGCCCCGCAGGCGCTGGAGGCGGCGCAGCAGTGCACGGAGCTGCGGGAAGAGTGGAACAAGGTGCGGTGCGGTGAGGGGGAGGGGAAGGTGTCGGGGGAGGGGAAGGGCTGGGCTTGTGGGTGAGGAGCGACATGCAGTGAGGTGCAGGCGGACTAAGCAGGGGCACGGCGGTTGGAGGAGAGAAGCTGGTGCAGGGCGGGAAGGGGTAAGTTCAAGTGGTTTGAAAGGATGGTGGAGGCGAAGGGTGCTGTTGAGACCGAGCAGGAAGTGAGGGGGACAAGGCATAGGAGTGGGGGGAATGGCATGCACATCCACCCATGCATGCATGCAGCCGCCCATCCGTGCATGCAACCATCTGTAAGTGCTCGCTCTTGTGCCTCCTCGTCCCATAAATCCCCTCCTCGCCCCATCAACCCCCTCTTCTCGCCCCATCAACCTTCTGCTCGCCCCATCAACCCCCTCTCCTCGCCCCATCAACCCCACCTTCCCCAGGGCTGGTTCCGGAAGGGTGAGGCACTGTTTGCGTTGCAGCGGTACGACGAGGCGGAGGAGGCGTACCGGCAGGCCCTGGAGCGGGTGAGCTGCTGCCATGCGCCATCTCCCCCCTTGTGTCATGCGCCGTGTGTCATGCGCAATGCACTATGCACTGTGCCAACTTTCTCTCCCACCTGAAATGCTGTCCGGAGCTTTAGGGTGTACGCTCCGAAAGCAAGCAAGTAGAAGATCAGAGCCACCCGTTTTTCGGTGGGCAACTGGGCTGCATGCTGTGCTCGCTGCTGCTCTTCACTCATCACGTTGCTGCACCCGTTCCCTTCCCACCCCCCATTTTCCGCCGTCACCTTTTTCTCCTATTGTCTCCCAGCTGCTTCACCAGCCGCTGCATTGGGAAGCAGTGCACACGGCAGCTGTTGCTTGCACAAGCTTGGCCGTCCATCGTGCCATCGCCCTCCTTGTCCCCCACCCACCATGTGAGCAGGCGCCAGACGATGCAACGGTGAAGCAGTGTCTGCTGTTGGCGCTGGAGGCTCAGCAGGGCTTCCTGCTGCGCCAGGTGACGCACGCCCTGTCCCTCACTCATGGCATGCATGTGCCGTGCACGCCCACCTTCCCTCGCTCACATGCCATGCATGTGCCATGTGCCGTGCGCCCTCACCCCTGCTCACACATGTGGGGCATGTGTGCGCCCTCTCTGTGTACACACATAACTTCTACAATTCACGCCCTTGCTCCATCCAGCGCGCGCAGTGCAGTGCGGTTCGCAGCTGGGTGCGGTGACATGAACATCGTTATTGCTTGTTCGTGCGCGCCCCCCTGCATGGCAGATGTTCGCAGGGCGCGAGTTCTGTGTGGGCAGAGGCCGCAACGTCATTGAGTCCCAGGTGCGCCCTCCCTCCCTGCCCAGGTGCGCCCTCCCTCCCTGCCCAGGTGCGCCCTCCCTCCCTGCCCAGGTGCGCCCTCCCTCCCTGCCCAGGTGCGCCCTCCCTCCCTGCCCAGGTGCGCCCTCCCTCCCTGCCCAGGTGCGCCCTCCCTCCCTGCCCAGGTGCGCCCTCCCTCCCTGCCCAGGTGCGCCCTCCCTCCCTGCCCAGGTGCGCCCTCCCTCCCTGCCCAGGTGCGCCCTCCCTCCCTGCCCAGGTGCGCCCTCCCTCCCTGCCCAGGTGCGCCCTCCCTCCCTGCCCAGGTGCGCCCTCCCTCCCTGCCCAGGTGCGCCCTCCCTCCCTGCCCAGGTGCGCCCTCCCTCCCTGCCCAGGTGCGCCCTCCCTCCCTGCCCAGGTGCGCCCTCCCTCCCTGCCCAGGTGCGCCCTCCCTCCCTGCCCAGGTGCGCCCTCCCTCCCTGCCCAGGTGCGCCCTCCCTCCCTGCCCAGGTGCGCCCTCCCTCCCTGCCCAGGTGCGCCCTCCCTCCCTGCCCAGGTGCGCCCTCCCTCCCTGCCCAGGTGCGCCCTCCCTCCCTGCCCAGGTGCGCCCTCCTTACCGCCCCTCATGTGTCCACAAACACACCATCGCACATGCATGCTCCGCCTCCCTTCCGTCTTCCGGAAGGGCATGCACTCATGCCCATACATGCCGGCTCACCTGTCCCCTGTCTTCCATCAACGTCCCGTGTCATCCCTTGTCTCCATCCGCCATCCGCCCATCTCCCCCCCCCCTCTATGCTCGCAGATATACCGCAGTGCACAGCAGATGCGCAACTTCATCTACCTCGTCGGCGATGCACACTCCCGAGAGGCTGTCGTGGTGGATGGCGCATGGGATGTCGAGGTGAGCTGCATTGCTGCTCTGCTGTTGGCGGCTCTGATCAGTGCTGTGCAGAGGCTCGTGGTGTGTTCATATGGCCATGCATTTACTTCCCATGCTTACTTCTCACGGTCTCCAAACCCTTTCTCGTCCACTATCCCATGTGCACGCTATACCATGCTGCCCAATATTCCTGCACGTGAATTCGTCACAACCCCCTTCCTCCCCACCCGCGCACGGCTCATTCCCCATCCCCTTACCCACCCCACTGTCTCTGTGTGTGCCGTTGCATTGCGGCACGTCCTCCATCTGCCCGTCCTCCTCTGTGGGGCCCGTGCTCGCCTCGCCCCTTATGGCGTGGCGTGGCAGGGCATTCTGCGGTACGCAGAGGCGGAGAGAGTGAAGCTGGTCAGTGCTCTAACCCTGGATTTGCCACCACATACCACATGGCATGGCGTTGCATGCCATGGCATAGCATGGCGTGGCATGACTTTGCGTGGCAAGCCGCTGCGTGGTGCCATTGGCCTTTCTCCTCCCGGCCGCCTTGTTTTCTCCTTTGCTTCATGACTGCGAGGCATCCCCCTTCCCCTTCCCATCTCCCTATCCGGGAGCCACTGTGTTTTGGTGTCCTATCGCCCTTTTGATTGCAAACTGCCTCATCTCCCTCCGCTCTCGCCCCCGTGGCCTCCATGACAAGACACAGCATCTCACTCTTGTTCTCATCGCTTGCGCCTTCCACTGGCCCCCAACACCCTCCACCCTCCCCCTCATTCAGGTGGGTGCGGTGGTGACGCACTACCACTTTGACCACACGGGCGGCATGCCGCCGCCGCCCTTTGACGCGCTGGGCATCAAGGTGCCGGGGATCAGAGAGCTCGCCATAACGCACGGCCTCAAGGTGTGCTGCTGGTTGCACTGAGGGGCTTGGCACTGACGCAGTGGAGGCTCAAAGTTCCCTGCCAGGAGACATGTGTGCGAGTGGGGGTGCATGTCTCGCCGTGCCCCAGAAGGCGTGCCACCTCACCAGGTGACCGGATAGTCACAGAGAGGTTAAATGATTGTCATGGATGTCATCTGTCTCGCATCTCTGCCCGCCTCTTCACCTCACCCCCCGTCGGTCTGAACCCCTACCCCTGTCCCGCTGACTCCCCACACAGGTGTATGCCAACAAGCACGATGCGGCGCTGCTGCGATCCAAGAATGGTGTTCCCAGCGACTCCATTGTGGAGGTCCAGGTATGGTGGAGGTACGGTTCAGGTATGGTGGAGGTACGGTTCAGGTATGGTGGAGGTACGGTTCAGGTATGGTGGAGGTACGGTTCAGGTATGGTGGAGGTACGGTTCAGGTATGGTGGAGGTACGGTTCAGGTATGGTGGAGGTACGGTTCAGGTATGGTGGAGGTACGGTTCAGGTATGGTGGAGGTACGGTTCAGGTATGGTGGAGGTACGGTTCAGGTACAAGGTATGGTGGAGGTATGGCGGAGATATGGCGGAGGTATGGGCAGAGGTTTGGTGGAGGTATGATGGTGGTGGTATGGTGGCGGTATGGGCATGAGATGGGATGACAGGTTGGAATGGTATGCATGGCGTGATGCCAACATGCATTTGAGCCGATTGTCGCATGCACCATGCATCTTCCTCAAAGCTCTTCTGTTGCAAGTGTGTTTAACGTTGTGCTCATCCCTCCCTCACATTTTCACGAGCCTAGCATCCTCAAACCAAACTTTTTCATAACTTAAGGATGCATAGCCTTTGGAAATATGAGAAACACCATTCTAGCCGTTGCTAAGCTCTTTTCTCAGGGGTATGTGCAGCCGTAGTTTCTTTTCAATCCTTTTGTACCTCCTTGTTTGTTGTATTTCCTCTGGCTCATGCCTTGTTCCATTGGTGCTCATGGTCGGCAATTGGTGGTGGCGATGGTGAGGGCAGGATGGGGCGACGATAGAGGTGGGGGCGGTGTCGCTGCGCTTCATCCACACACCCGGTCACACGCCCGGCAGCCAGTGCATCCACATTGAACGGTGCGAGATGCTGGCATGCATGCTCGCATGAATGTGTAGGACGTATGGAAATGAGCGAACGTACATGCATGCACTCTATTCACACATGTTGCACATGCAGATGCACATCGCACCCATCTGCATGGTGATATTTACGCCCATGTTTTACCACAATCTTCCCCTCGTGCATGCTTGCATGGGCTATCGGGCGGACATGCACAAGCCCATGTGACAGCCTTATGCTGTCGCCATGTCGCATGCGCATGACCCGTGCAAGGCAGCATGCTGGGGTCAAGGGACTCACTCATGGTGTCTCGAGGACCCAGGCATCACCCACACCACCCAGCATGTTCAGTGCTGCCACCCACATGTCCCCTAAGTCATTCACCCCATCCCCCCTCCCCCTCTTCCCCCCTCCTTCCCCTCTTCCCCCCTCCTCCCCCTCTTCCCCCTCCTCCCCTTCCTTGCTGCCGTGTCACCATGCATGCTCCATGCGCCAAACACAGTCCATGCGTTGTCGCCTGCTAAGACCATCCTCCCGCTGTTGCTGCCTGCTTTTCCTCTTGCTGCCCATCTGCTTACTTGCTGCCTGCAGAGCGCCGGGCCATGATGATGGTGTTCTAATATCAGGAGACACCCTCTTTATTGGAAGGTGAGTCTGAAGCCCTGTGTGTCTGCTATTAGCGTGTGACAGCACGAGTCAGCAGCGAGGCCACTGTAATCACTAACCCCATAGCGCACGAGCTTTATTCCACTCCTCTCCACTCCACAGCACGACGGGTGAGTGCGCCATGCATGCCGTGTGGTGTGGTGGCTGAGGCAGCGCCAGAGTGAGGCCAAGGCGCTGCCATGGACCTTGGGGGCTTTCCTCACACCCACTGCCCTCCACATCTGTGCGTCTCTGCTTCCTCTCATTGAATTTGATGTTGTTTCTGTGCTTCTTCTCCCAAACCCCATCTTCCACAATGCATACGCAGCACATTTCTGTCACTGCCACCTTCTCTCCTCTTCGTTTCGCATTGCTGTTTCATCAAGCCACCACGTGCCTCACTCCCCTTGCGCCTCACTCCCCTTGCGCCTCACCCCACTCTGCATGCCGCGCGCGTCCACTCTGCCGCCTGTCACAGCTGTGGGAGGCTGGACCTACCAGACTGCAACCGGGAGGCCATGTACGACAGCCTGCAGAAGCTCTCTGCATTGCCACCTGACACCAGGTGAGTGCAACCCTGCGAGTCTCCAAGCCTTAAACATCTTCCCTTTCCAGTCCGAGTCTTTCTTGCCCTGCAAGCTGCACGCCCTCCCAGCGTTGCTTCCGCATGTCCACCTGCTGCCCCTCTGCACGCTTCCTTGTCCTGTGTCCCCCCCTCCTGCATGTGGTGCAGGGTGTACCCCGGGCACGACTACGGGGGGGCGTTCACGAGCATTGGCAAGGAGAAGGCCACTGGCTTCCTGCGCCCCATGAGCAAGCAGCAGTGGCTCGCCTCCCAGGCCATGTGACCCGCCCTGCCTGCTCCCTCTGCTCCTACTGCTTCCAAGTGTGCTTGCTCGTGCATGCAGTCGCTGAGGGCAGGTGCAACGCAGGGCAGAGCTGCCACCACCAATCCAGCATGCATGATGCGAGCTAACGATGGCTAAGGACGGCCCCACCCATTCCCAAGAATGTGGGGTCCTGCACCATATCTTGTTCCAACAACTGCACCACAGCTCTGATGGTTTTCAGCTATTGGCAGTGCAGGTCAACAGCGTGGCACTAGCGCCACCACGTCAGGCAGTACCATCTCGCGTGTATCCAGTATTTAGTGGATTAGGAGTTGTTGCTGGAGCTTCTGAAAAGCAGTAGGTTCATACGGTAGAAAGGGGATTTTGCGCAAATAAGAATAACACATCTACACTAGCAGGCTTTTCTAAGGCATGGTAATTCTAGTCAAAGGAGAGCTGGCCTTGTTGCAGGCGGGTGAGGATGGAGTCAATGTCGCCAAACACCTCCTCCTTGCCCCGATGCCCGTTCACCTGCTCCCCCCACCGCACGGCAGGGGGTTTCGACGGTGGCGCGGGGTGCAGAGGATGGAGGGATAAGAGCGAGGGAGGTTGATGCATGGGTGATGAAACGTGAAAAAAGAGTTGCGGAGGGGGATAAACTTTAGGGGGGGTAAATTTTGGAGAGTGAGATTGTGTGCATAGATGTGATGCATCCCTTAGGTATTGCCATCCCAGTACCACACCATGCATAAATCCTCTACCTGATGTCATCACACTCCCCATGCTGCCACCCCATGCCGTGCACCCTCATCGATCCCAAGCCATGCACTCTAATTCATTCCATGCCCTACAGTCCCCCTCTCGTGTCACTGTCACTTGTTTTTCACACCGCTCTACACCGCATCCCACCTGCACGAGCTTGCCGGCGTAGACATCGAGCACGCTGGCCACGTTGGCGTTGTGCGTCTCCAGCCGCGCCTTCACCTGCCCCCGTGGTGGCACAGCACACACAGCAGGTCAAGAGACAAGCAGCAAGGCACGGTCAGGCGGCCAGGGGCAAACTCATAACAAGGCAAACATGCAAGGGAGTGGGAAGCCAGGTGATGGAGCTGGGAGTGGGTAGTGGGGAGCGGTGCAGGGAACGGTGCGACGCAGATGTGTATGCTGGCAAGCTCGTGCAGGTGAGAGCGCGGTGCAGACTGGTGCAGGTGAGTAGTGCAGAGCGGTGCGGAAGGATGTAAGTGAGAGTGTGGAGGTGAAAGGGGGGTTTTAAGGCATAGGGTGGATGGACGGGACTGCAGGCCTTAGAACGGCAGCCCGTGGAGTGGGATGATACTGGATAGTGGATGAGACTGCAGGCCATGGGAGCTGAACGAATAACTCTTTCACGCCTCTTACCAATGCACACACCCTCACCCTCCAAAAATTCATCCCGCTCCACAAATCCACGTTTCAACCTTCACCCCAACCCCCCCCCTCCCCCTTTTCCTCTCCCACCTTCTCCTCGGTGTCGTCGCTGCGCTGGGTGAGGCGGGCGGCGATCTCCTCGGATTCGGGCGGTGAGAAGGAGAGGTGATAGATGCGGTTGGTGGCGGGGTCCAGGCGCCGCCCCACCACGCGCTCCACCAGGATCTCCTGGGGCACCTGCACACATGCACACATGCAGGGAGGAGGGGGTGGCGGAAGGTTACAAAGCAGAGGAAGGGGCAGGAGAGAGAGTGGGGGAGAGGAGGGGGGAAGAAATGGGGTTGTGGGTTGGCAATGAAGCGGTGTAGCTGGAGAGGGCGCCCGCTCCACCCTCTCCAGTGGGGCACTGGGGCGTCCGGGCAGGGCCAAAACGAGCGGGGAGCATGGGGGGATGAGATGAGATGCGCAGGTGCAGCATTGACGGTGGACGCAACAGCATGAATGCGCCAGAGACCAGTTCAGCTGGCGCCACCTGAATGGTGAGGGGGCATGTGGGCGGCGGGTCGCATGATGGATGTGGGTTCGGCTGACAGGTGGGTATGTGAGTGAGATGGAGTGCGAGTTGGCAGGCTGTCAGAACGGGCCCTTCATTAGTACAGCACTGCTCACGGCACACTCCCAACACGCCTAGCACGGGCACAAGTAAAAGCAGAAGGGGCAGGGCGCTCAGATTGTGGGGCGGGACAGAACAGGAAGGAGTGGCGAGGGCAGGGAGGGGGCTGACATCAAGGAGGATGAAGACGTCGGGGGAGATGTCGAGGGCCAGCAGCGCCTGCGCCTGCGACAGGCTGCGCGGATAGCCGTCCAGCAGCCACCCCCTGCTCTGCGCGTCCTCCTGTGCCAGCCGGTTCTTCACTATCTGCTCCCATACATGCACACACAGGTGGGCACACAAGCACACACCAACACACTGGCACACAGTGTCAAACCGCGCCTAGACAACAGCAGCCCTATGCAGAGGCTTCTCAAGGCGCTTATATTATTCTCTTCTTTCTACTTCCCTGGCTTGCGCCGGGTCAAAGCGCTCTTCTGGCACCCCAAACCACGCTGGCTACTCTATTGTGCGACTGTGGTGGAGGATGGCATGGCAGACACGGGGGAGGAATGGGCAAGAGACAGATAATAACGGGTGCAGTCAGAGGGGAGGCGAGGAGGGGCAAGAGAAAGGAGCTGGGAGAGGCGAGCAGCAGCAGTGCTGTGGGTGTGCACCCGCCACCAACACGGCCCCCACGCATACCACTCACGCACCCAGCCAGCCAGCCAGCAGCAACCCAGCATCCAGCACCCACCGTGACGACCACGTCATCGGGCACGAGTCTTCCCGCGTCCATGTGCGTCTTGGCCTGCCGCCCGCCCTCCGTGCCCGCCGCCACCTCCGCGCGCAGCAGATCGCCCGCACTGATGTGTGTCAGCCCGTACTGCTCGCGCGCACCAGCATGCACGGGGAGGCGGGGAGGGGTGACAGGGGGTCCAAGACAGGGCACGGGGGCAGGGGGCAGGGGGGAAAGGGGGCAGGCATGAGGAAAAGGGGCAGGGGGGCAGGGGGGGAGGGTGCAGGAGGACGCACACGGGAGAACGGGGCGAGGGAGGAACGAGGGCGTGTGGAGTCATACAGAGGTGCACGGGGGGGTGAAAGGGCGGGTGGATGGAAGGAAGGGAAGAAGGTGGACGGCAGCGAGAAATAACGCACTCGTTCCTGTGAAATAACAGTGTGTTCAACGCATGCCCTCCTCATTCCCCTCGCACCCTTCTCCTCCACAGAATGCTCCTTCACTCCTTGCCACTGCCTTCTTTCCTCTTTCCCCCATTTTCCCCTCTTCCCTGCCCGCTCTCCCACTCCTCCACCCCTCCATCCGCCCACCACTACCACGCACCCCTGAGCGCGGAGCCCACCTTCGCCACGATGAGTTCGCACTGCGTGCCCTTGCCCGACGCAGGCGCGCCCGAGATCATCACTCGCAGCGGCCGCAGCGGGGTCCCCGCAGAGGCCGCCTGCTCCAACGCCGTCGACACTGCCGCTCGCGCCTGCGCGCGCTGCAGGGGCAGGGGCGGGGGGGTGGGCGGAAAGAAATGCGGGAGGGGACTGGCGGGCTGGCGGCCCTTGTCGAACGAGTTCCTGCTTGGCATTTTCTTTCTCGCGCGCGTTAGTGTCGGCATGAAGGCCTCTTTTCCCGCCAAGCTTTTGCTGAGTGCATTTTCTGTGAAGCCCGTTCCACGGCGGCCGACAACGCCGGCATACCCATCCTCGCCTCTCAGACGCTGCCGTCGCACCCGCTCGCTCACTGCCCAGATTCGTACGCTAATCGAAGCACATTGCGCTATCCAATGTGCTCCATCCACGTGGACGAATTTGAGAAATACATTCGTGAAGAGGCATGTCCCGAACCTTATGCGATCGCGTCCGTTGATTCGATTGCGCGGAAGCAACCCTCCGTTCGCCTCCACCAGTCGATACCATTCGCAGCCCGTTGTGCCTCTGCCATGCCGGGGCGGATGCGGCAGGATTCACGGAAGCGCGCTCGACGCAGTCGTCCTGCGAGTGGCAGAGGCTCGCGGATAGCGAAGCCGCTGCGGTGCTCTGTCTAGCTGCGAGCGACATGCTGACGTGGACTGGGTATGCGTGCAGACGTTTTGGTACAGGGTATGCGCCGTGAGGCGAGGCGATGTGTCTGCGTGAGCGGAGGCAGAGGCGAGGAGAGGTTGAGGCGAAAGGTGACGGGTGGAGAAGAAACGGGTGAGTGAGAGTTCGCTGGTTGCTGCTTACAACGAGTAATTTCGAGCCCCCTCAAGTTTCGTCCAAACCGAGCCACGGAGAGCGAGAGCTTTGGAAGCGGATAAAGGGTCGCGTGGATGTCGAGCCGAGGTGTGGCGCGGCTGACGTGGAAAGGAGACCTTGTCGAATGCATCGTGGAACCACACACGCAGATTGGTTTCGGCGGTGCCAAGGTGGAGCCTCACGCAGTCGCGACACTTGTGGCTGCCATTTTGGGTGGGATATTCACGGGGAAATTATCAAATTGGGGCCGAAGAGTACACCTGTCCCGCGCTAATTTCAATTCCCGGCAATTTCAACACCTTCGTCGACCTGTGTTCCTGGGCCGAGTGCGGTTCGGCCTCACAACCTCTCTATAAAGCTCAGAACCGAGGTGAGTGCGAGTATCACGGTTTTGAGCATTACGAAACCGAATGAAACCGCACTGGCTGTCGGAACTTCTTTGTTCCCGGCAATTTCAACACGAGGGCTAAACGACAAACAGTAACACCCGCATCGCGGGTGTTGAAATTGCCGAGGGAGAGGTGTACCAGAGAGATGACCGAAGTAGGGCCGGAAAATCTCGACCGTAGGATATGTACCCTGAGCTGCCCAAGCGGTCAGGCGAACAAGCCGAACCATGAAAAACGAGTAATTGCTTAACGCACCGATTTGCGTATGATAAGTTAACAGCCGGCATCTACTACAACGTGCGCGTCGCATTCTTCTGGAAATTACATTTGCCGTGTTGAATTGTGAGTCCAAAGCGACATATTATATATTATGGGTGATACGTATAACCTTCCTGGTCGGAAACGCGCTGAACAAAAAAAAACCGTTCGGATATGGGTGCGACCCGGAAGGCATCAACCCTAAACGCTAAGTGTGAATCAAGAAAAACAGGAATGAAATGACTAAGTGAAAGTTGGGTACAAAAGGCAAACCCTAGGCAACTGTACCCCATATGTGCTACCCCACTATAGCCTACAGTAGCTATGTAATATAACTCTGACACACCCCCATAGGCAAAGTGGGGGAGAACAAGGGGTCACAAGACCAGTCAAGCAAAGCAAAGCAAGCTCAGGGTGGATCACAAAGTCACCACACATTCCGAGCACAAGTTCAAGGCCACAAGGCCAGTTCACATGCAGGATTACATATATATATAAGGCTAGACAAGCAAGAGCAGGAGTATATATATATGCAACAGTACAAACAAGGTCAAGAGGTGAGCAAGTGAGGCAAGGTAGGTACAAGACCCAGCTGAGTACAGAAGCGCTGATGATCACAAGGCGCAAGTGCCTTGGTGAAGATATCAGCAGTGTTGGCCTCAGAGGCCACGTACGCAAGTCGCAGCTGACCACGCTGCTGTAGCTCACGAGCAAGGAAGTAGCGAAGAGCAATGTGCTTCGTTCTGTGCTCCAGTCTCTGCTCTCGACACAAGGCCAGCATGGCCTTGTTGTCTACGTAGAGCACTGGAGGAGAACGAGGCGGCTCTCCGAGGTCAGTCAGCAGGTAGGTGAGCCAGCGAAGCTCCTGTGCAGCCATGGCCCCGGCGTAGATCTCAGCCTCACAACTGGAGCCGAGAACAGAAGACGAGCGAGTAGCCCGCCACGAAACAGAGCCGGAACCAAGGCTGAAGGTGTAACCCTGTGACGACCGCTGCGTAGCCTGGTCGTCAGCCCAAGAAGCGTCTGCGTGTCCAGTGAGGACCACTGGACTCTGCCCTCCAAGCACAAGCCCCATGCCCGACGTACTGCACAAGTAGCGCAACACCCTCTTCGCTGCAGCCATGTGCTCCGGTCTGTGTCTCCCAGGAGCAACATAGCGTGCGAGAATGCTAAGAGGGTATGCAAGGTCAGGTCGAGTGCAGGTCATCAGGTACATGAGGCAGCCAACAAGCTCTGGGTACGGGCCACTCGACTCTACGGACTCATCCGAAGGCAGAGCTGAGAGCGAGTGGCGAGTAGGCAGAGGAGTGGCCTGAGGCGAGGAGTACGTGAAGCCGAAGCGCTGAAGGACCTGCTGCATCATGTGTGACTGAGTCAGGGTAATGGTGCGGCGTGCTCTGTCCCGGGTGATCTGCAAGCCAAGGTAGCTGTGCAGTTCACCCAGGTCTGTGCACGTGTGTCTCTTCTGCAGCTCGGACTTCACGTGGGCGAGTCCAGCAGTGTCAGCTGTGGCAAAGACCAAGTCGTCGACGTACACGAGGATGTAGAACGGCTGCAAAGAAGTGTCGGTGCGCAGAAACAGCGACGGGTCGGCAGTAGAGGGAGCAAACCCAAGAGCCGCAAGTGTAGTCCTCAGTGTGTCGTGCCACTCACGCGGTGCCTGGCGGAGACCGTAGACTGGCCGCCGGAGGCTCCACTGGGTGCCAGGAGGAAAAGACCCAGCGAAGCCAGGTGGGCGACGCAGCCAGATCTCCTCGTGCAGGCTGCCCTGCAAGAAAGCAGTGCTGAAGTCAAGAGAGTGCAGCTCGTAGTCGCGGTGAGCAGCTATGTGCAGCAGTACCCGAAGAGTGGTCATCTTCGGGGTGGGAGAGAAGGTCTGAAAGTAGTCAACTCCCTGCCGCTGACTGAAGCCACGAGCCACGTAACGCGCCTTGAAGACAGGCGGAGAACCCGGCGGCCGCTTCACCCTGAAAATCCACATGCCACTGACGATGTTCGCCCCAGGCGGGGGAACCTCGTCAACGTAGGTGCCTGTGGACTTCCAGGAAGCCATCTCTGCGTCCATAGCTGCCTGCCACTGAGAGAAGTAGGGACCCTCTATCGCCTCCGCGTAAGAGCGCGGAGTCGGGATGTCAAGTGCATCCGGGTCTCCCTCAGGGGTAAGCAGTACGGACACGAGATGAGGTGAAGCAGCAGCCAAACACTGGAACTCCTCCTGCCTGTCCTCAAGGACGTCCGTGCCAAGGGCACACTCACCCCCGACGGACGGAGGACAGACAGACTCAGACTCAGCAACAAGACTAGCAGCGTAGTCTAGACGACAGCGAGCAGCAAAGTCGACGAGCTCAGTAACTAGGGCAGACGCAGCAGTGGACTCAAAGGAAGGGTCAGTGACAACAGTAGCAAGGAGACGCGTGACAGTAGGACTGGCAGCACGAAGAGAGTCCGACTCCGGGTCAGGAAGAGCAGGAAGAGAGGACTCAGGAGGAGAAGGCAAAGGGGCACGCAGAGGAGCAGTGGACGGACGCAGAGACATCCGGTGCGTGCCAGGGACAGGAGGAGGACGCTGACGCGAACCACGAGCACTAGTGCGAGCAGCACGGACAGGCGACGCAGGGCGAGACGCAGGCTCACGACGCTCAGCAAGACCTCCAGTAGGACCAGTGTAGGGAGAAGGAGCGGGCAGTGGGGAGGCCGGCTGTAACTGTAACTGTGACGGGACAGGCTGTGGACACGCTAAGGGAGGAGGAGGACCAGTAGAAGGCGGGAGACCAAGAACCTGCTGAAGGAGCGGAACGAAGTACGGCCGAGGCCGCGCGGCGACTCCAGACACAGCAGGGACAGCACCAGTACCCCCAGCGGCAGCACCAGCGCCAGCAGCACCTCCAGCTCCAGTACCTCCAGCAGCACCAGTAGCACCCCCAGCAGGACCGCCTCCAGGACCGACAGCAGTAGCCTCAGCGCCAACACCCTCAGCAGCTCCAGCTCCAGTCGTACCCGCAGGCCCAGTAGCTCCAGTACTCCCAGTACGAGCACCTCCGGGACCCGCGGCACCAGCACCCTCAGCAGCCGAAGAACCTCCAGCTCCAGCAGCACGCCTCCAGCGCCGGGCAAACCACTCGCGCAGCTCCTGTGGAGAGAGTGGCTCCCGTCGAGACGAAGCACCCGGAGAACCTCCAGGCTCAGCACCGCCAGACGCCACACGAGCAGGCCCAGCTCCCTCAGGCTCCGCACCCCCAGGCTCAGCACCTCCAGGCGTAGCACCCCCAGGCGTAGCACTCCCAGGCTCAGCACCCCCAGGCTCAGCACCTCCAGTAGTAGCACCCCCAGGCTCAGCACCCTCAGGCTCAGCACCCCCAGTAGTAGCACCCACACGCTCAGCACCCCCAGAGTCAGCACCCCCAGGCTCAGCACCCTCAGCAGCACCAGAGTCACCAGTAACCTCGACAGGCTCGACTGCGTCTACCTGGGACACACCTGAAGGGGCAGGACCCTGAGGGGGGAGGGGGTCTACCGGGGGGGGACCTGGGACAAGGAAGAGCGGTGGCGGGGGGAGGGACGGAGTGTGGTAGGGGAAGAGGCGGTAGTAGGGGACCGACTCGTCAAACGTGACGTCCTGAGAGGACAGGACACGGCGAGAGGTGGGGTGGTAGAACTGCCACCCTGGCGCGTCAGGGGGGAAGCCAAGGAAGACGCAAGGAGCAGCGCGAGGGGACAGCTTGTCCGCAGACAAGTCGCGGACAAACGCCCGAGATCCCCAGACACGGAACGCAGACGCATCGCCAACCTTCCCCGTCCACAGCAAAGCTGGGGAGGTCTCCGGCATGGAGACCCTGGGGTGAAGGTTGATCTGATGCGCCGCGTACCGAACCGCAAACGGCCACAGAAAATGGGGGGCAGCCGCATGCATCATGGACGTACGGGCGACGTCCATGACCATGCCAATGCGGCGCTCAGCAATCCCATTTTGCTGTGGAGAGTCCGGAAGCGTGAAGGTCTGGCGGATGCCTCGTGCACGACAGTAGGCTCGCAGAAGGCCAGAGGAGAACTCTCCACCTCTGTCAGAGTGCAGACGCTGAACAGGAAAGTCCGAGCCGAAGCTCTGCCTGAGCTGGAGACGAGCTGCGCGGATCCAGTCGATCAACACCTCAGTGACATCACCCTTGCTGCGCAAGG